CCCTTCTTCCTCTCTCTTTTCCTTCTCTTATTCTCCTTCCTCTTCTCTGTCTTCCTCCTCTTCTTCTTACTCTTTCTCTTCTTCTTTTGAAATATTGGGTCATTAGAAGTCATGATATGTTTATGCAAAAATGCGCCATGACTTTTCTGATGACCCCATAGGATCTCACTATGTCTCGGTCCTCCTTAGCCTCCCACCCGAGTCTACAGATGGGGCCTGCCACACTTGGCTCTTGTTTTCTAATGGTCTAGTTCTCATAGTCCCTTCCCTCTCTCTCTCGTCTACTTTGTCATACTATGTTTTCAAAACCTTATGGAAACAAAAACATGTACTCTCCTTCTTAAAAATATTTTATTACTTCTCTCTTTTTTTTCTTTATTTTCTTCATTTGCCAGAGGGCACATGCGTTCACCTAAGATAAGGAAGAAAAGTGAGGAGCATCCACCCTCCTGTGGGACATGGTCACACCACAATCCCCCCTCTTCCATTTGTCCCGCTGTGGGGGATTTGGGGCAGGCATGCATGCACACACGCGCACACACACACACACACACACACACACACACACACACAGCATGTTTCTCAAGCTGCCATGTCTGGGACTCAAACCACATAGCCAGCCATGTGGGATCCAGCTGTTTTAACTCTAGGCCATGGGCTGGCCCATCACTTTTTTTTATAACCCGTATTCAGAAACTCTATACCCATTTACGGCATCCAACTCCCTATCTTGAAGGTAGTATTGGAGCAAGGAGCAAAGAGAGTGCGCACAGCACCACCAACATCTCAGACAAGTAAAGGCGGTGTTCCAGTTCCCTACTGCCACCTTAGAACAACCTTTCTATTATATTTCAGAATTCTATGGGCTAGGGTTTTGTATAGGGCTCAAATGGGTGATTCTTCTGTCCTACTGACATTGATGGAGATCACTTGGTATTCAGATGTTAGGTAGACTTTTCTGGAAGGTCCAAAATAGCTACACTCTCATGTCTATGCCTTGGTGGGGAGGGATGAAGTGCTCCATGGGACATCTCCAGCCTAACAGCCTTAGAGAAGTTCGATTTCTTAGATGGTGCCCCAGGTCTCTGAGAACAAGGGTTCCAGGGAATAAGGCACTGAGCACTGAACATCTGAAACTACTGAGCTTCTGATGACCTGAGAGTTGGGCAGGCAACTAGGCACTTTTAGATAGGAAGAATGTTATGGTTTTCCTTTTGAAGCTACTATGCATAGAACCACTGAGAACATTTTGTGGATAGGATTGGGGTGAAGTTTGAGGAGTAACAAATTGATAGAAGAGGTTCCCTAGAGATAACACGGGATGATCCCTCCTCTTATACATGTTCATCATACCATGCCCAACATTCTCAACCTCTGCTTAGCCATCAGCTTACAACCTAATAACTCTACCATAATTTTATTCCCTAAAATCACCAGTAATGTTAGAGCCAAGTCAATAGGCTATTCTTTGTAGATCATGTGGGTGTCCGGCACTTTAGCCACCACACCACCTGTTGGTCCCTGTATTGTCTTCTTGATAATTCTCCTAAACTTGACATTGGTCAAGACCCAACCCTTCCTTAATCATATTCTCAAATACCAGGTTCTAGTACTGGATTTGCAACTGTTTCTTGTCCTACCTTAGGTAAGGTCACTCTCCAGACCATAAATCTGGGTAACCCTATCGTGTGGCGGCTTTTTTTTTTTTTTTTTTTCCAAGTCCCATTGTATTCACTACCATGGAAAGTGTACACCCTTTCATTACATCTGTTGGGTCTTTGGGAAAGTCATGATGCATTTTTTTAGTAGAAAAACATTTTAAAAATATGTTAGGACTTTCCCAATGACCAACTATATTTCTGACTCCCAAATAGTTCCCAGATCTGGTTTATTTCTCTCTTGGCATGCTATATAGTTTCCTATGTTCTTAGATACCAATACTATTGTCTCCAAATCATTCCAAGACTGTAAAAGTTCATCTCATCTTCTTACCCATAAAATCACCTCCCCTTTCCAACTGTCTCATGACAATTATCAGTATTGTCACTGGGCCTGCTAACCATGTTTTGGAACTTGGAGTCATCTTGGAAAAACCTTTGACTCCACACCTACTGATTCATAAACTGTGCTGCCTACCAGACCAAATGTAACCCTCCCATGCCAAGACCATCTGTGAAGCACCACACATGCATGAGACAAAAACACGGTTGAATCTTCACTCAGATTTTCAGGGTCCGCTCTCATTTGGCTTATCTCTTTCCAGCTTCTCACCCATCTCTCCTCCTGATGAGTCCCACCATCCAGTTTCCCAGTTATCAGGCCCACAGAGCATTCCCACATAATTACCTTGCTTTCCCCAACATCTTCACCATCATGCACGTCTCTGGTTTGCCTCAGCTGCTCTTTATTTCAACAGATATTTGTAGAGGACAAACCCCACTGCCTCTCCCTTCTCTGTTTCCTCAGATCCCCTACACTCGACATGGCCTTGCTCAGGCAGGTCCTGCAAGCCTGGCTTCCTTGCAGAGCTCACTGGGACTGGCTTCTTGCTCAGCACACACAGACTTTTCTTATTGAGGATTTGGAACTTATTCTCCAAGGGCTTTAGGTCTTATTTTTCCTGCATTCAGAGGAGATGACTCTTTGACTTCCATTGATTCTTTCTGGGGGTTTAATTCAATGTTGAGTATCTACAGGCCCTCCATGGCCAAATGTAGATTCTGGTAAGATCCAAAGGATTTATGGCTTATCTGAGAGACTCTAGAAATGGGGACTTGAGAGGCCAGCAGGTGTGTGGTGATTAAGGGCGCTGGACTCCCACGTGCCTGACTGGTTTGAGTCCCAGACCTGACGGCTTGCTTTCTCACTTTTCCTCTCTCTCTCTCTCTCTCCCCCCCTCTCTGGTCAAATTTAAATAAATAAAGTTAAACAAACACAAAAAATTCTAAAAAAAAAAACACCAAAAAATAGAAATAGGGCTTGGCCTTTTCCCCTTCTGTCTTTCTCCTGTTTCCTATGATTCCCCACTATGTTTTTAAAAGTGTGTGTAATTTTTCTAATTTTTCTTCCCCAAAGATAAGTGCTGGAAAAGTCTGCATGAAGGCGAACGAAGGTAGGGGCAAACTGCAACCACAGACACACACTGCATGTTTAATTCATCACTTGGGTAGACCGGGAACTTGGGTAGACCGGGATAGCTCTGGAGCCCCATTTGCACAGCTGGAAACGAAAGTTCCAGGAAGAATAGCCACATTGGGACCAGCAGTTAGTGTAATGGCTATGTCCCTAGACTCCCATGTAGTCGACCATGGTTCGCATCCCGGACCCGGTGGCTTAAAACTCACGCCGGGCACATGCGCGTGAGTGCCCAAGATCCTGAGAGGAAAATGGAGGAGAAGGGATTGCAGTGTGGCCATCCCCCCTGAGGAGTGATTTCTCGCTTTCTGTCTCTCTGTCTCTCTGTCTTTCTGGTGAGCGCATGCACCCTATGGCAAAAACCTCTCAAAAGAAAGAAAGAAAGAATAGCCACGTTCTCCAGTTCTCCAGCAGCAGAATGCTCCAGAGCCAGCCGGTGAGCGCATGTTCCTCCTTACATGGCACCTCCGGAAGGAGCCGGATCCCACTTCGCTCAGTGCTTCAGCAACTTAATATTTGATTTCTAGTATGCCAACAATCTCACTGACACCTTCACACAAAGAGCGATCAAACACTGCATTGCTTTTTAAAAAGTTATTTTATTTTAAATTAATTTATTTGCATTCGTTCACTGTACATCATTAGTCTGCAAAATGAGATTTCCAATCCAGAATACCCTGTATATTGACTCAGTCAAGGGTATTACCATCGGGGTTATTGTCAACAAATACTTTTCCATTTCTGGTTTCTTATCTATCCTCCCCCTCCTCGGTTCCCAACCTCTCACCCTCTGCCGTGTCCCACCCTCCTCCCACACTGGCTCTGGTATACACCATTGTTTCCCATGCACCCCCCGCCCCCCCCACACACACAATTTATTGATACACTTCAGTGCTTTTAGAGAGGTAAAGAGGACAAAGGAAAGGCAGCTGAGAAGGTTGCAAGCTGCTGGCGAGGTTCCTGGGGCGTCAGAGGAATAGGAAAGCCCAGCTGGGCAGAATTTTTCCGCAGAAGCTCTAAGATCCCTCTCTTTTCCGACAGCTCAGGCCGCGCAGTGAAGACTGGCTTTAGCCTGCGGGCGGGCGCGCTTTCCGGCCGGCCGTGCAGAGCGCAGGGCGCAGTTGGCGAGGTGCAGGGTGAGGGCTTTCGGAGGTGAAGGGCGGCCACCCGGGCACGGAGCGAGGATGGGGGCTGGCTCGCTCGGGGCCCAGGGCACGCCCCCGAAAAGCGCGATGCTCAGGTCTTCAGAGACTTTGCGCCGCTCGGCTCCGGAGAGACAGGGCTATAAAAGCCACCGCGGAGGGCAGGGACACAGCAGCCTGGGCGCAGCGGGTCCTCCTGGCACGAGGGTGGGGGGACGCAGCCTGGCTGGTGCCCACTACCGCGCTCTGCTCGCACACGCCACCTCTGGACCGCCACCGACAGCGTGAGAAGTCAGAGAGCGCGGGTTTGGGACCAGGACCCGCCAGGAGGGCGGAAGAGGGAAGCGTGCCTTGGGGGCTGGAGCTCCTTCTGTCTTGCACGACCGACACCTGCTCCGCTCTCTGAGTGAAGATGGTGAGTTCCACAGACTCCGAGGTGCACCCGACCATGGGGATCAAGATCCTCTCGGCTGGAGTGGCGGCCTGCTTGGCGGACGTGATCACCTTCCCGCTGGACACCGCCAAAGTCCGGCTACAGGTAGGGAGCCAGATGGCAAGGCCAAGGGTCAGGGCAGAGGGGATGCATATTGTCACTTATTGTGCCGGTCTCTTGGATTCTCAGCTTGGTTTACCAATTCTCAGGTAGGTGGGTAGGGCGTGTGGCCACCTTAAGAAACAGTTTGGGGAACCAGCAGTTAGCGTAATGGCTATGTCGCTGGACTCCCACGTAGTCGACCGCGGTTTGCATCCCCGACCTGGTGGCTTAAAACCTACGCCGGGCGCGTGTGCGTGCGTGCCCAAGATCCCGAGAGGAGAATGGAGGAGAAGGGATTGCGGCGTGGTCATTCCCCCTGGGGGGTGATTTCTCGCTTTCTGTCTCTATGTCTCTCTCTGTCTGGCGAGCGCATGCGCCCTATAGTAAAAAAAACCTCTAAAAAAAAAAAAAGAAAGAAAGAAAGAAACAGCTTGGCCTTGCCTCAGAACTGGAGGCTCTAGGATGGAAAAATTCATGGGATTCTTCGCGGGATCAAAGAATGGCTTGACCATGACCTTCTCCAAAAGTTAGGGTGCACGCACTACGGGTTCTAAAAGCCGAGAACGTGGGGCTCTAGAGTTTCCAGGACAGCTTTTCGTCTCTGTGATGTTGCAGGGGTACCTTCCCATCCTACTGCCTAAGGGTTCCGGAGTGTACCAGAGTCTCTCTGTCTCTGTCTCTCTCTATATATGTGTATATAAAGTTCATGGAAAATGCTTATGAAAAAGATGCACATGACTGTCAAAAACTTGTTTGTAATCAAACTTTATTTTCCCATGAGTTTTTTGAAGCCCCATGTACATGCATACATACACGGGGCGGGTGGGGAGAGAAGCTGCTTAGAAGTGAAACACAGAATACTGAAACAATGGGGAAAAAAATCTTGGCTTAAGGTTTCTTCTCAGAGGACAGCCCTGTGCCAGTCTTGTTTTGTTTCCAGGTAGGATTCCCTTACTAGGTTTTCACTTCCCTCTGAACTTTTTCTTTTTTCTTTTCTTTTCTTGTTTTTTCTTTTTTTTTTTTTTTTTTGTTCTTTGAGAGGTTTTTGCTATAGGGCACGTGAGCTTGCCAGAAAGACAGAGAAAAACAGAGAGACAGAAAGCGAGAAATCACCCCCGGAGGAAATGGCCACACCACAATCCCTTCTCCTCCATTCTCCTCTCAGGACCTTGGGCACACACGCACACGTGCTTGGCGTGAGTTTAAGCCACCGGGTCCGGGACTTGAACCGCGGTGAACTACGTGGGAGTTCAGTGACATAGCCATTTTACTAACTGCTGGTCCCTCCTTCTGAACTTTCTTCCTTCCAGATTCAAGGCGAATGCCAGACCTCCAGTGCTATTCGGTATAAAGGTGTCCTGGGAACCATCTCCACTCTAGCCAGATCAGAAGGACCCGTGAAGCTTTACAGCGGGCTGCCCGCCGGCCTTCAGAGACAGATAAGCTTTGCTTCTCTCAGGATCGGCCTCTATGATACAGTCCAGGAGTTCTTCGCCACAGGGAAAGAAAGTAAGCCACCCGGTTCCCCGGAGGGGCACGCCCTGGGCTCCGCTCTGCCCGAACACCGTAGCACACAGGGGGGTGGTCTCATGACAAATTGGCAAGAAAACCTCAATATCTGAACCCTCCCTCTCCCCCAAATATTAGTTCGCTTTTCATGGAAAACATAGAAATGCACAAAACCAATGTTTAGGTGCAGGATTATATTTACACAAACTACCCAGTCAGTCTGGAAGTTGCAGACCTCATTGGGATCTCCAGCTGGAGAATATGGGTGAGCTGTAAAATAACGTTTCTTTCAAGTTTCTCACCTCAGAATATCAGAAATGCCTATGGAGCTTTAAAAATCCAAATGAGGAAACCATGAGCCTCTGAACCTGAATCCTTTTTTTGAAGAGGTTTTTGCTATAGGGCGTGTGCGCTAGCCAGACAGAGACAGAGACAGAAAGTGAGAAATCACCCCCCAGGGGGGATGGCCACGCCGCAATCCCTTCTCCTCCATTCTCCTCTCGGGATTTTGGGCACGCACGCACACACACCAGCGTGAGTTTTAAGCCACTGCGTCTGGGACGCGAACCATGGTGGACTACATGGGAGTCCAGCGACATAGCCATGACGTTAACTGCTGGTCCCCCTGAACCTGAATCCTTAGGTAGGAGGCCAGGGGATCTGTTTTCACACGCGTCCCTGGAATCCTGTTATGTAGCAAAGTCCCAAAACTCTTACTGGGTTGTTGGAAAAGTCATGGCATATTTTTTTTTTAATGCAAAAAGGCATCATGACTTTTCCGACGACCCAGTAGTTTGAAGAAAAGCAAGGAAGACCTTGTGAGGACGGGTGAAAGGACAGGAAAAATTTCTTTTTTTTTTTTTTAAGAGAGATTATTGCTATAGTGTGCATACACTCACTGGAGACACAGTGAGAGACAGAAAGTAAGAGATCACTCCCAGGGGGATGAGCATACCGCAGTCCCTTCTCCTCCATTCTCCTCTTGGGATTTTGGGCTCACATACACATGCGCCCAGCGTGAGTTGTAAGCCAAGGGGTCCAGGACTTGAACCACGGTCAACTATGTGGGCATCTAGTGACATATAACCATTATTCCATTTGTTGGTCCTGAAAAGACAACTTTTAAGAGGTTCCTGATAGGGTCTCTAATGCCAGCGACCACCAGAGGACAAAAAGTGGACTTAAACAGCAGTGAGTTTGTTTAAGGGAAGACAGAAAGGAACCAATGTTTCCGGTGCCAGCGTCCCTGTCCTATTCCCAGGGTCCCTATCGGGGTAGCTGCATTTATATGAGTGCTCACTCAGGACCGGGCTCTGTCCTGAGTGCTCCACATGCACGTCAACTGGAAAGGTACGGGTCTTCCTACCCTCTGGCAATGGGGAACTGAGCACAGAGTGGTTTCAGAACTTGCCCATGGTCACACAGTGGGAAGGGGCAGAGCCAGAGCTCACACTCGAGCTGTCTGGCTTCTGCCCAGGCTCTGCTGTGCACCTTTGCATGTGGTCCTGTACACCATTCAATCCCCCAACAACACGGTAGGTAGAGACCATTATCCGAATATCAGGGTTGTAGCGTGCACGGACTCGCACTGCCGGTTACCATCAGAGGTCCTTTCACGTGGGCGCAGGCAGGCCAGGCAGATGTGCTGATGGTAAAGTGAACACACGAGGTCACGACCTGGGTGGCTCTCAGCACTGCTGCTTTGAGTAATCTCTGAATACTACACTTCTATGGGATACTTTGTACGTATTCTTTGTGCTAATATGTAAGTTAAACTTACCCGCACAGTACTTTCGAAGTGAATGTAAAGCCTGGATGTGTCTAGATCAGTCACGCATTGTCATCTGTGTAGATGCCGCAAGAAAAGGAACACGGGGACAGAAAGCTGCTCCTTCAGGTTGTTTTCTTCACAGATGGATGCTTCCAACCAACCGCTGGGCGCCAAATTACTAGGACACCTTTTTGACGGCATTCTACACGATGTCTATCCAGTCCCTTCAATAACTTGATTGAACTGCCACATGCCAGAAACTGTCAGGTGTCCAGATGACAGATGTCTCTGCAGGCAGGAGCTTACGGTTCCAAGAACGGGGTGTGTGGGGCGAGTTTCTAGATGGCCCTCACAATGACACGGGCTATGTTACAAGTAGTTATGGGACACTGGGCACACCGAAGAGGGGTGTGTGACCTAGCCATGGGGCATGGGCACGCAAAACTTTCCTAAGACAGAATGCCTGAATCGAATCTTGAAGGACCAGTGGGACTAATCCACCCACAGTGGGGAGAAAAGACCTTCTACAAAGATGGAATGTTGTGTGCAGAGATACAGAGGGAGGACCTGTGGTGAGGGGGGGACGCAGGAAGGAGCCAGATCACAAAATGACTTTGGATTTTATCCTCACAGTGACAGGAGGTGATTAAGAAGGTTAAAGGGGGGGAAGGCAGAAGTGATCTGTGTCTTTCATGTGATCACACTGGCAGCAGTATGGAGTGTGTAGAGAAAAGGTAACTTAGTGAGCATGATCAGGGTGTGCCCCAAAGCATTAGTGACAGGGCAAGAGCGGTCAGTCTGAAAGGCTTCGGAAGTACAACGGACGGAACCTGACGGAGAACTGAAGATGCAGGGAGAAGTAGGAATGTAAACGACTCCCAAGTTTCTAGCTAAGGACACCATTATCGGGGAGAGAATGTATGTGGTCTTGGGAGATGAGAAAAATCTGCTTAGGGCATGTCAACAGGTAATGTCACATGAGCTTAGGAGAAAGGTCTAGGGTAGGTGCCAACAAGTTACGGGAGGGATGACCCACAAGGTCAGACAGCAGACAGCAGCTGAAGAAAGGACTGAAAAGCGACCTCTGTACCTAGCCGACAGACGCCGCCTGGTTTCCTGGCAAACCCGTGTTTGGTGGAGTAGTGGGGTAGAAGCCGGGCTCCGGAGAACGGGGAGGAAATGGGCCGTGGAAAGTGAAGATGGAGAGTGGCTTCTGGGCTAGCCTTTGGAGTGGTGGCTAAGCCCACTGGACTCCATGTGGCTGACTGTGCGGTTCATTTCCCAGAATCGGTAGCTTGAAAAACATGTCCAGCACTTGTGTGTGCATGTTCAAAATGCCAAAAGGAGAAATGGAGAAGGGATGGTGGCATGATCATCCCTCAAGGGAAATGCTTTTTCATTCTTCTACTTTCTCCAGCGAGCACACACATTCTCAAGCAAACCAAAATAGTAAAGAATAGAGAGAGAGAGAGAGAGAATATATGTGTGTGTGTGTGTGTATACATATATAATCTTTCCCAAGAAGTTTGGGAAATAAAGAGATTAGGGAGTTGGAGACTGGAGGACACAACAGTGTGTCAATGTAAGATTATACATATGGGGCAGTTGTAATCGTATGATCTTGCCAATGAAAAGAAAGCTGTATTGGGACCAGCAGATGGTGTAATGGACTACCACGTAGTCAACTGTGGTTTGAGTCCTGGACCCAGCGGCTTAAAACTCACACTGGGTGTATGTGTATGTGTGCTCCAAATCCCAAGAGGAGAATGGAAGAGAAGGGATTGCGGCATGGCTATCCCTTCTAGGGGGGTGATTTCTCACTTTCTGTCTCTGTCTCTCTGGCAAGCTCATGTGCTCTAAAGCCAAAATCTTTCTAAAACTTTTTATAAAGAAAGTTGTATTATATACTTTCAGGCTGACTAAGCATGTTAAGAACAGAGTATAATCAAAATAGTATTTTTAAAAAGTGTTGCCAGTTTTCTGCATTTCCTATGAGCCAAAAGTGAATTAATGCTTTATCAATATTATTTTTTAATAATTATTTAAATTTTATTATATTGTGTTTAATTTGCTATAGGGCACATGCATTCACCAGAGACAGAGAGAGAGACAGAGACAGAGAAAGTGAGAAAGCAAGCCGCCTGGTCCAGGACTCAAACCGTGGTCAGCCATGTGGGAGTCCAGCACCTTAACGACCACACCACCTGCTGGCTCCCATATCGACATTATTTTAACTCACACAACAAGTCTACAAGGTAAATATTATCCCTATTTTAGAAAATTAGAGACTGAGAAAGCCCCTGATAAGTAAATGTTATTAGACCACAACTTTATATTTCATCATAGGAATGAATATCGGGCTTTGCATTTGTAATTATTAAGTGACATCTGTCTTGAGTAACATAAGCTAATTTTTCAAACTTTCAAAACAAAATCAGTTTTTTAGCTTCTTTTCTTATCTTCTGCCCCTTTCATATGTGGTAGATGAGCACTGCTTGATGTCTTATATTGGGGCAATTTATTCGATGGGCTTTCACTCAGACCACCAAGTTGCGTAGTTAGCACGATCATTCTGGTGGAAAGTAACCATTATGGGAACTGATGTCTCCTGACAGTTGGGAACTATTGAAAAAGGGACCCAAACATAGGAAAGAACTGAGCGGACTACGGAAAGGACTGCACCACTGTTAAACAGGCACTGGTTTCTGTTTCCTGCAAAGTCTTCCTTTACAAATAATTTCAAACAGCTGACATTTTCAAGGCCCGCTGAGATTCGGCCCATCTTCGGTACATCATGAACACATGGACACACATTAGAGAAGGAGAAAGAACAGAGAATATAAAAATACTAACTACTCAAAGTGTACAAAGACACAAGGGTCCATTCTGGGTCTTGAATTATTTTATGAATCCTTTTGATTTTTTTCTCTTTTTGGATAATTACAGGTAGTTTAGGAAGCAAGATCTCAGCTGGCTTAACGACCGGAGGAGTGGCAGTATTCATCGGGCAGCCCACAGAGGTCGTGAAAGTCAGGCTTCAAGCCCAGAGCCATCTGCATGGTCTCAAGCCTCGCTACACTGGGACTTATAATGCTTACAGAATTATAGTAACAACGGAAGGCCTGTTGGGTCTTTGGAAAGGTAACTACCTTCTAGGTTGATCTTAGAAACATCGAAACACACATATCCGTTTATCGCTTGCTCCTACAATAGAATGATATTAAACATTTCTCTCCCCAGGCACCACTCCTAATCTGATGAGGAACGTCATCATCAATTGCACAGAGCTGGTCACGTATGACCTAATGAAGACGGCCCTTGTGAGAAACAAGATCCTAGCAGGTAACTTCCTCTTTTATAGAACGAGCACTTCACCCAGCCGCTTCTGCAGCACATCATACTGAACCCCTGGATTCTATTGCTAATAGGTTTCTCTTTCAAATAAAAAGGAATTTTGAACATTTGACAGAACTTTTTGAGAAGTAGAAAAAAACCAAAACCTTAAGTTGAAGTCTCACCCAAATAAAAATGTTTTATAACAAAGAAATGCAACTGCAGTATGTCATTGTTATTTATTTAATACTATTGTCTGGATTTGTTAGAATCACAGTACTTACACAGCGGAATTCAGGTAAGTCCATCCTGCGCCATAAGTATTTTTTTTTAAAGCTAGTTATTCAATGGTTTCATTCAAAAAAGAATCATGTTCCTCAAAATTTTATATACATATATATATGTGTGTGTGTGTGTGTGTGTGTATATGTGTATATACACACATATATATATATAGAGAGAGAGAGACCAGCAGATGGCAAAATGGTTACATCACTGAACTCTCATGTAGTCGACCATGGTTAAAGTCCCAGACCCTGTAGCTTAAAACTCACTCGTGGTATGTGCGTGCCTGTGTGCCCAAAATACCAAGAGGAGAATGGAGAAGGGATTGTAATGTGGCCATCGCCCTGGGGGGTGATTTCTCATGTTCTGTCTCTCTGTCTCTGTCTGTCTCTTTGGTGAGTGCGCACACCCTGTAGCAAAAATCTTGCCTATATGTGTGTGTGTGTTGTGTGTGTTTTAAATTTGCTATTGGGTGTGTGTGTTCACCAGAGAGAGACATAGAAAGAGGAGATGGGACATGAGAAAGCATCTCTCCCCACCCCCAGGGTGGGAGATGGTCATGCTGCTCTTTTTCTCCATTCTCCTTTTTGGAATTTTGGGTACAGAGGTGCACCCCCATGTGTTTTTCAAGTTGCTGGGTCCAGGATCTGAGCTATGCAGTCAGCCACGTGGGATCCAGCCACCTTAACCAGGCGACCAGCTGGTCCATCTAAAAATAATATTATGACAGTTTCTAGAAACATTGAGATGCTCCTTGGACCAAGACTGTAATTCAATAAAGCAAGTATAAAGTGCTCATATACATCAGGCATTATGCCAAATCCCAATGGCGCAGAGAAAACCGAGATTATTTTTCTAAAGTGTTTACAATCCATTATGCTACATCCTATTTACCACCCACTTCTCATGCACTATAACCTTTCTTATCATATTTATTTATGAGACAGCATGTTGAGCTCCTGGCAGCAACAGGTCTCCGAGGATCTGAGAGCTAAGAACTACAACCCCCCAAAGCTTGACACTGATCTGCTCTATTGCTCCATTCTAGATGACGTCCCCTGCCACTTGCTGTCAGCTCTTATCGCTGGATTTTGCACCACCATTCTGTCCTCTCCAGTGGACGTGGTGAAAACCAGATTTGTTAATTCTCCACCAGGACAGTACACAAATGTGCGTGACTGTGCAATGACTATGTTCACCAAGGAAGGACCTACGGCTTTCTTCAAAGGGTAGGATATGCTCTTCTGTATCTGCAGTGTTCTGTTCAGGGTGTCCGTGTGCTTTGGGACAGCCACCTCTAAGTCATGATGCTCAACTTAACCACACTTAGTAGAGACGGTATACTCAGTCCTGACTTTTTCTTGCCACAGATTTCTCCAATCCATTAATTCCATTGTGCCAGAAAATAAAAAGCAGTGATATTAAAATTATTTCAGCCTTGATCCGAGGCTCATTGAAAATGTGTGCCTCTCCATTGGTCCTGGTCTCCTGGAAATATACAGTGTTTCTGCCTCCTTGGCAGGAGGACTAAGAAGAAGAGGGAAAATATAATAGAAGGGAGTGAGAAAATAAGACGGTTTTCACTATTTTAATTTGATGAGCTCATTTTCTAAACCATAGTAGAGCAAAAGTCATTGTCACTGATCTAGAAAAGTGACACAGAAAATTATGTGTTTTGGGTCAATTACTGGATGGTCAGAAAAGTTACGTATTTTTGCATAAAACATAGAAAAATATGTCGTGACTTTTCTAATGACCCAATATTATACTCACTTAGAAACTAGTATTGTGTAATAGATCTCATTTTCCCAATATGCAGTTTATCATATTGGAAAGTCCTGTCCTATATTGTCCTAAAATATATAACATGAAATAATTTGTGGATTTTTTTTTGTAGTTTTTTTGCCTTAGGGCATGTATGCTCGCCAGAGAGAGAGAGAAAGAGCGAGAGAGCCAGAGACAGTGAGATGACATGAGAAATCATCCCTCGGGGGGATGGCTATGCTGCAATCCCTTTTCCTCCATTCTCCTCCCAGGATTTTGGGCATGCACAATGTATCCAGCATGAGCTTCAAGCCACCAGGCAGGGACTTGAACAGCAGTTGGCCATGCGGGAGTCCAGTGACATAACTGCTATGCCATCTGCTGGTCCCAATTTATGAATACTTTCAACGAAGATTATGCTAGTGATAAAATAATAAAATTCTGTAATACTTTAAGATTAGCAGGCAATGCCTCAAGCCTTATAAGGTAGTATGAATAGTACCATGCACATTCTACAGTTTCAATTCACCATAATCAGCACATATAGCACAATAATACAAATGAAATACATTGTAAAATTAACTTAAAATGGGCATGCCAGTTATTAACTATTAACCTTTTTTTTTTTTAAATTTAAAATCCAATTTAATCCAGGGAACCAGCAGTTAGCGTAATGGCTATGTTGCTGGACTCCCACATAGTCGACCGCAGTTTGCGTCCCGGACCCGGTGGCTTAAAACTCACACCGGGCACGTGTGTGTGCGTGTCCAAGATCCCAAAAGGAGAATGGAGGAGAAGAGATTGCGGCATGACCATCCCCCCTGGGGGGTGATTTCTCACTTTCTGTCTCTATGTCTCTGTCTGTCTGTCTGGCGAGCGCACGCGCCCTATAGCGAAAGCCTCTCAAAAAAAAAAATCCAATTTAATCCACAGGCTACAATGTGGGTGAACTCTGAAAATGAGGAATATACAGAGTAAAATAAAATGTATGCAAAAGGGCGAACACTGTGCTGCGTGATTCCACTTACAGTGAGGCACCCAGAGTAGTCACATGCATAGAAAGCAGAGCAGAGGTTACCAGCAACTGGTAGTAGGAGAACGGGTAATTACTATTTAATGTGCACCAAGTTTTTATTTGGAGTGATATAAAATTTCTACAGATGCAGAGTGGTGATGGTTCCCCATAAAGTGAATGTACTTAATGCTACCAAATTGTACATTTTAAAAAATGGCAGCAGCAGATGGCGTAGTGGTTATGCCACTGGACTCTCACATGGCCGACTGTGGTTCAAATCCTGGACCTAGTGACTTGAAAATCATGCCAAATATGTACGTGTGTGTACGTGCCCAGGATCCTGGGAGGAAAGGGAAAAGGGATTGTGACATGGCCATTTCCCCTGGGGAGGGGGAGGGGTGTGATTTCTCACTTTCCCTTTTACTGGATCTGTCTGTCTCTCTTTCTGGTGAATGCCCCAAGGCAAAAATCTCTTAAAAAAAAGGCTAAAATGGTAAGTTTCATGTTATTTATGTTTTCACACACACATACACCCTGCACCATTACACATGCACACACACACACACACACACACACACACACCCTGCACCATCTCAAAGTCAAGAAAAACATGTTAAGTGACCTGGGGAGGGATTCCTTTGGGGATTTAAAAAAAAAATAGGTTTCTTTTAAGAAATCTATCTAAGGAAGACTTAACTGACATCTTTTTCTCCCAGAACATTTTATTGCTATAAGCAGGTAAACAAAATCAATCATTTGGCGTACACAGTTTGGCAGATTAAAAACAACACAAGTCGCTTAAACCCTTGACAGTTTCTCTGAGGACAAAAGTAGCCAAATGTAGACAGCCCTGATTTGACTCTGGAATGTGGTCCACTCACTCACTGCTCTTCTGTTTTCTCCTTTCCAATAGTTTCCTACATCCCATCCAGAAAGCAAAGCAAAAGTTTCCCCTCCCCTCAAAACAGAAGGAAAGTTTTTGAACAGGGCCACGTCAGAAAGATGTGCCTCGGTTTGGTGGGAGTGAAGGATGTTTATGTATTTTTGTAGATGTGATTGTCAGTTCTGTTGTTTTAAATCAGTACAGCGTTATCTGAGAACACTATTTTTCACAGAGGAGGGAAAGATGCAAAATAGGTACTTTACAGTACCTTCATTTCAGAAGAGTAGAAAATGATCAGCATTAACCGATGCTCTGTAATAGCTTTATGAATTTCAAACAAATTAACAGAATGGTGATGTGTACTCTTCCAGACTTGTGCCGTCCTTCTTACGACTTGCATCCTGGAACGTCATTATGTTTGTGTGCTTCGAACAGCTAAAACGAGAACTGATGAAGTCACGGCAGCCTGTGGACTGTGCCACATGATTAGCTTCAAGCAAAGGAGGTAACATAGCAGTAGGAATCTTTGCTGACTGGTTCATTAAAACAAAACAACAAAATGACTATTCATTTTAAGCCACAAAAGATAAATTCTGGCAGAGAATTTTGGACATTTCTTATGTATCAAAAAGGGAAAAATAACACCTATTTCATATAAAATTTATTCTCAGTGTCCTGAGGAAGGAAAAGCAAAACATTCAGTATATAAAGCCTGGCAAATATGACACCCAGATAACTTACTGCATTTGACTGATCATTTTTGGTGCAGAGTTATATGACTGAATATGAAGAATTACAACATGTTTTAATTCTAACTCAAACTGATAGAAAAGGAAAACTCTAATAAAGTTCATTTTAAATTTATAAATGCTTAAATATGAATGTTATCAAAGGAAATACTACTGTTTCTATTTATTAACCACAGTTGTCAGTTGATAATAATGAATAAAAAATTGCTAATGCTTTGTAAAGTTTGTTTTTGGGGATCTATACCTCAATGTAAAAGTAGAATTTTACCTTGTCCAATAACCAATAAAGGTCTTTAGAATCAATAGGCATAAACTCTCTGAATGTTCTGTGACTTACTTAAGGAATGGGAAGGATGAGAAGAGAGCAGAGAGCAGTTATCAAAAAAAAGGCTTACAACAATTTCAACATGTTTTTTATTTGCTCACTTAACATTCCAAACAAAATGACATCACATTTCACACTATTGCTTTTACTTATGAAGTCAACTACTTTATCCAAAGTAGACAAAAACATCAATTTCTTTAAGTTGCCAACTGGTACTTTTCCCCCATAGGAAAACTATTGCGCAAATATTTTTTTGAATACCTTAACACAAACAGAATCATCATATAATAATAATGAAATCATTGGGTCTTAACTGCACTACGTTTAAACTTTTTCTGATCAAAAGCTGAAGACAAAAACAAAACAAAAAACTCAGGTCGTTCGTGATTTTTAACAATTCCACTAATATTCATTAAAAATTGCTTGGGTGGAGAGGTCCGTAAATATGAAAACTGAAATTAAGCCTCCCCAGACATGTTCATAAAGTGGGATAGGTCAGCCTCTGGTGTGATGGTTAAGCAGGCTGGATCCATCATGGCCAGGTATACAGTTTGAGTCCCAGACCCAGTGACTTGAAAGAAAAAAAGGAAGAAAAAAAAATAAAGAAAAAGCCAGGCACATATGCAAGCATGTCCAAAATCCAGAAAGGAGGGAGAAATGGAGGAATAGAGATTTCTGCATGACCACTACCCATTGGGGGATGCCTTTTCACTGTCCCTTCCCTCCTCCCTTCTGCTGAATGCATACGCCCTCTTGAAAAAAAAAAAAAAAGTGAGGTGAAATATTTATCCTGAGAATAGAGCTGCTGGTTCCCAACCATTATTTCAAGAAAGATAATAAACGTTATTGCCTCCAAGCTAAACCTCCTCTCCTCTACTGTGCCACAACAATGTATAACCTTTTCTGTTCTGGCAATGAGCATTCACTTCTCACACTCCCGTAATGCCTCTCCCTTGAGCAAATCTCTGTCACAAAATGTTCTCAAAGGGGAGAAAGAGTGCATGAAATGATTATGAACACTGGAATAAAAATGAAGAGTACATACATTTTCACATAGAAAAATACATACAAATCCAAGTAGCTCTTAAAATAGAGAAGAATCAGGATGGACATTTTCAAGAAAAAGATTCTGCTTTCTAAACTGTAAATGGTGCCAGTAAGACACTGATTTTTATACCCAGCTATTACACCATATTTATATACAAAGAGAGGTTGGTCTAGGTTCATTGATAACCCCTGGTTTCTCCCATTTCTTTGAAGATTGTCTTTCAGAATGTATTTAAACTGCAACTGTCACAACTGTATTTTCAGACTATTCTTGTCACTGGCATACTCTCTTCAATCTGGCACATACAAAAATTCACTTCAACACTGATTCACGTTTGTGTTCTAAAACTAAAATAAGTCTTCCTGCTACTTCAATGCCATAATATTTCATTACTACTTTGGCATTTTACTAATTATTACAGAAACAAGAGCCTACATATGGACTTTAAGACTACATAAAATTCTAACATACACATGTTGAAAGCAAGAATAAGTAGGAAGGCAGACACAATTATCATTTCTTTTTTCAGGTATGTCACCATCACATGAAAGTCAGAAGTTTCATGTTATAGTCTAATTTATAACTAGTGACATTTAATTTAGCTTCCACACTACTTAGGATTTGTTGGTGGCTTTTATATCAATTCTCTACAAAACTACCTCAAATGGTTATCTTAAACAAAAACAAAGAAATTTCTATTGGGTCATCAGAAAAGTTATGACACATTTTTGCACAGAAAAAATATCTCATGACTTTTCCAACAACCCAATACAATGTACAGATGGAGGTGGTGGATTTAAAGAACATATTGATCAAACTTCAAAATGACATTTTCTTAATATCATTATACTTTTAATCTCCCTGGAAGGGGAAAACTTTAATTACTAAAAGTTTCTATTTCCATAATCCAAGAATTCTTTTATTGAATTATAAACCAGTTAATGATCTGATCTCAACTGTTGAAAGGTCAAAATACAAAAATAAGTATTATCAGCATGAAACTCGACCAACTACTTTCCATGTAAGAGTAACACTGTAATATAGTGAGCTTTCATGATTAACACTTGATCCTTGTCAAGATTTTTCTACACATCATAAAATTCTAGCTGGATGATTAAAGCATGAAAATATTTTTTAAAAAATTAAGTGAAAACACTCCCAAAGTTGGGAAGTCTCCCACAACAAACCAATTTTTAAATTCCTATAATACTGAAAAGCTAAACTACCACTATTATAATAAAATAAATTTAAAAAATACTTTCTTTTCGAGAAAATAATAATTTTAATGCATGCACTTTTAATGTATGTGCTATACAACACTGTATCTATTATTGTCCATTCGGGTATTTCTTATCACTCTTCTATTTCATAAGTCTGAAGAAAGCGGTCTGTCAATAGACATGAACAAATACTGAAGTCTCAGGTCTTGCTGTATCACATACATGCCAGGCCTTAAACACTTGTTATATACCACATTAACAGATGTGCTCAATTTCATCATGTTTTAGATTATAAGATGTCTTTAACAGGTTGGTTTCTGCAGGACTTAAGGAGAACTTAGTAATCAGATGAACTTAAACTATCTTTAAATTCTTAGTTTGCTGTGAGTACAGATGTCTAAAATACACCAAGAAGAAAGAGTTCCCATTAGAATCTCATCACTATCTAACCTCTCACAGGATTTGCTGCCTCCTGAGATTTTAGGAGAATAAAGCTATATGAAAATGCACAGTTATCGTCCTCAAGCTACTAAAGAACCCCACAACTATTAACATGAAGTTCATACATCAGTATCTAGAAACACCATGGAGCCAGAGCAAAGAGAATCAAGAGTTAACAGTAAGTCAAATAAATCAACAATATTTAACTGAGATGTTATCAAAAGCATTAAGCTTCCTTCTTATTTAAGTTTCAAGGTCAGCTTTATTGAATTAGGAACTGTCTTTCAAATTTAATCAAGATTTTCTTAGCAAATAACATCTCTTCATAAACATATACATGTGGAGAAGCCTCATTAAAGGCCCATACGTCAAACACTACCTAAGGTTCTTTTTTAAAACTGACAAAAATCAAACACCAAAGATGAGAAAATGCCTTTATGTCTTGTGATATTTTCAAGTGTGTTATTTAAAAACAAAAATGCTGCTCATCAATACTGTCATTCTCTTATTATATGACATATTCAATAATCAGAGAAACCAGAAAAGGAGGCCATGATTCTTCATCCTCTCTGACATATCTAAGCTCTTGTTATTATTAATAAAGCAATGTTATGACATGTGACTGAGAACAAAAAAATGCAAAAACCAGAAAACTGTTCTTATTGTTAATTAACAGAAATAAAAATATGACAAAATTAAAAACAGTGATTTTCAAACTAAAACAAAAAAACTTAAGAGAGCTTTAAAACAGATACCAACTTGACAGCTACAATACATAAAATGCAAAATCAACTTCTACACATTTTAATCAACAAATTCAATACAAATACCTGATTTATACTTTTACACTAACGGGCGGAGTCCCAAGTTCCAAACTGTAGTTCACGTGACTCTACAGAGGGATCTTTGGAAGGATAAGGTACCTTTGGAGAACAGTGTATAAACAATTGTAAACATACACTGATTGTCCACTAGCTTTCTTAATAGAATTTCTGAAATATTTTTGTAGGAAATTATATATAAGAGTGAAATTGATCAGATAATTTCTATTACAACATATAAATTCTGTTGTGTGTGCAAAATGTGGTAGAAATAGAAGATATTGTGAATGATTTATGTTTTTAAGGTAAGTGCTACATTACAATCCATTAGGAGTCCTTTAATCTTTTCATGAAACTTCTCTCTGTACAGGTTGAAATACATAATGCTTTCTGGTTCTTCTTCAAACCAAAACTTATCAAATTCATAGACAAGATAACCTGCAGTTAAAGCAAACAAAACATACAAACTTCATGTACTGAAATTACATTCTTACTACCTCATTTTTATAAAGTATTCAATATATAACCACCCTGTAAATTCCACATTAGAATACAATGATAAAAAATAAACTTAAAGCTATCAGAAATCCAGGAAAGGGAAGAAACAGTTAATAGACAAAACAATGTAAAGTTCTCTGTTCGAAAAGAAAAAAAAAATTGATATTTTTACTCTATAAAAATTAAAATTAAAAAAATAAACACTCTTAGAAAAATTATATAAGATCTTTTTTTGAAATTATATAAGATCTTGAAAACATGTTTATTGAATAAAATTTTAAATAACTTGAATAAAAGAAAAAAGCAAATTAGAAACCTAAGTTAATTTATAATAGATATTTTTATATACTCAAAATAAAAAGCAATTTCAAAAGAACATTGTACATTTACTATCTGTCTCAAAAATTAAAAGTCCTTCAACCTGAGAATCTTAACACTTTCAAAAGAAACCTTGAGAATAGGAAAAAAAGTTATCCCCAGAGACTCCTGAAGCAGAAAAATTAAAGGAATAAGAAAAAGACAAGACAAAATATAGAAAAACTGTTGGCTACTTGATTTCTAAATCTAAGAGTTATTTCTACTTCTTTCACTAAACTATTAGCATCTTCTCATTCTAAGAACACATGCATTCTTGGGGTCCAGCAGGTGGCATGGTGGTTAATGTGCTGGACTCCCATATGGCTGACCATGGTTCAAATCCCAGACCTGGCAACTTGAAAAAAAATCACACAATGCATGTGTGATTTTCCAGAAGGACAATGGAAAAGAGACTGTGATATGGCTATTCCCTGGGGGTGATTTCTCACTTTCCCTCTTAATGAGTTTCTCTCTCTCTCTGTCTCTCTCTCTCCCTCTCCAATGAGTACATGCACCCTATGGCAGAAATCTTTAATAAAAAAGAAATGCATTCTAAACAGGCCTAATATGTTTTTTTAAGATTCTCATTACAGTAGCCACATTAACCCCCAAGTGTGAAAAAGTAGTTCATGGAACATATAGAAACATATATGTGAATATTCATATTTACAAATATATATGTGAATTTAAGTGTGAATTTTAAAACAACCCTAAGTCCTGTTTTGCATTCAACCAAATGTATTGAATCAGTTTAAAAGTGCTTCCATAGAGCTTGCTACACGTTCATTTGCTCCCATGACACTGCACTACTACTACCCCTATTTTCCCAAAGAGGCAACAGGGACAGCGAGGTTCAGTGACGTGCCCAAATCACAGAGTTTGTAGGCGGTCTCTACTGTGTTAAAGCACTAGCTTGTAAATTGGACTTTTGTTTTCACCAGAATCTCATTATACCTTCTAAAAGACTTTTTAAAAGGAGAGTGACTTATTTCTACTAAACAGGGAGAAATAGAGACTTTACACAAAAGCGTGGCTAAACTATCATAATTATTTAGTATGAAAACAATGGAAATTATATTTCAGTAGTATTGGTCATAAAGCAAGCATTGATAGTTAAGAACTAGGGCCAGTAGGTGGTATGGTAGTTAGGGTGCTGGACTCCCACATGGCTGACCATTGTTCAAATCCTGGACCCAGCAGCTTGAAAATCATGCTGGGCCCATGTGCATGCGTGCCCAGAATTCTGAGAGGAGATCAGAAGAGAAGGGACTGTGGTGTGGCCATTCCCTCTTGGGGTGATTTCTTTCTTATCTTCCGTCTCTCTGTCTCTCTCCAGTGAGCACATGTACCATATGGCAAAAACTTAATAAAATAACATTTAAAAAAAACTAAAAATTTAAGAACCATCGAATTTCAACATTGAAATAGCACTTCATAAACAGACCGGTTTAAGAAAGGTTTCAGATTAATCTCTTGAAATGTAAAAAAATAATTTCTGCCAACCAGGATACGTGAAAAAAATCAAAGAATGAAGAGTCTAAAGAAATAACGTCTCTATCTTGGTCCCCCCAAAAAAGAGCATGGTAACCTTGTAATCGTTTTTAAATGTTATTTTCTATCTTTAGTTCATTAAACATTGTATGTTGTGTAGAGGTCAGGACAACAGCGCATGGACAGAAACTATCCATAAATAAAGCGAATGGAGTCTGTACTGTTCCCATCTCTACCCGCAGTGCTCTGAAAAGGATGACATGCAATGAAAAGACTCAGACTAATGTTCTGGGCAGCAGGAAGAGCCAGCCATCCATTCAGATGTTATAGCCTGCCACTTTTTTAGTAGTTCTGGTTATTAGGTTTTAACTCTTTGCCATTTTTACGTTCTTACGATTGCTTTTTCATTCCTGTCAGTAATACGGCCCATTGGAATGACCACATAGGCCTGGAACAAACTGCTCACATGTAAAGTACTAGAAAGTTCGTGCTTCGGGGTGAGGTGGTTGGTCTATAAGGTAAATCAGTGTCAGAGAAAGACTGGCTCAGACAGCCGAGACCGCAACGGCTAAGGTGATTTAGTGAGACGCCAGCACACGGCAGGGGAAAATATCACGATTCTAGAAGGCTGGCAGGGACACGCTTGACTTAGGACTCCTAAAGCTTTCAGGAAAGTGATAGAAAAGAGCTGTTTCCATGAAGCACAGACACTGTCCTTTTGACTCTAAGAGGTCACCTACACATACTGGGGTGATTTTGACCCAGGCTGCTCATTTACATCTAGGAGCAGGTAAGGCATGTAGCCAGAGAGGGCCAGGAGGGTGTTGAAACAGAATGACAATGACTTGGGAATGGTAAAGGAAGCTTCTTGTGTCTCTAGAGGTAGTCCACTCAGGTAGGCCCACCAACACTGTTCCACAGGACCTGAAAAACCTGTTCTGCCACCTGAAGATAAGTTGCCCTGACTCCTACGTATTGTATCCATCCCCACAGGATCCTTTATCCTTATCCACTAAAAAAGAAAAGAAAAAAAAAAAGGATCTGGACACACAGTTCTGGGACTAGGGAGGGGTGGGACTACAGAGATATACTTTGGCGTCATTAGAACACAGACAGCACCTTGAGCAGAGCACTGGCTGCTTCTAGATGAGATCACTTAAGGTAAGAGTAAGGACTAGGGGCCAACAGGTGATATGGTGGTTGGGCACTGGATTCCCACATGGCCAACCATGGTTTGAGCCCCAGACCCAGTGGCTTGCTTTGTCACTTTCTGTCTCTCTTTCTCTTTCTCTGCCTCTCTCTGGTGAAAATATGTGCCCTATAGCAAATTTAAAAAAAATAAGAAGAAGAATAGATAAATAAATAATTCTTTTAAAAAAAAGTATAAGGACTGAAGAGTGAAGAGGACTCAGGGATGGGCTCTGAGTTATTCCTACTTTTAAGAAGGCAGAGGATGTCTGGAAAACCCAATGGGGCAGGAGAAAAGCCAGAAGACTGTAGCATCAGAAAATACACGAATCCTAAATTTACATACATGTGAGAAACTGCCTCGTTAAACTTTTTTATCAGCAAATATAGAAAATGAAGTACAAAATACTCGGGGATTCATCCAGAATTATTTTCCAATTTTTCAAAGACCCTAGGCCCAGCTACAATAATGTGCATTGCTAGACAGTACTATTTGATAGGCTGAGGCCTCATGAAAGGCCCAGGTTTGATTCCCAGCTCACCCTAAAAGTAGGTTCAGTAGCTTAAGCCTGTAGTCCCAGCTACTTTGCACGCTGTGATGGGAGGATCATGAGCTAGCAGCCAGCATGGACAAGATATGAGACTGTCTCAAAAGAAAATCCTAAATAATACAATGTAACTATAAGCTATATACTTGATAGAGGAATTAGATTAAAATGAACATTATACCTTCCTAGTGGTTTAACGATTCTCTTAGAAGGATCTAGTTTTAACTCATTTTAATACTCACAATAGAACTGATGAAAGTGTTCCATTGTTGGTGTTCCAGGAACAAAGTTGTAGAGATGAAACTTCAAAGCTTCACTCTTCAGTAAGCTATAAGCCATCTCTGTAAGATTGATCCCAACTATTGCATAAGAATACCTATGTCAGAAACATTACCAGTTATACCAGCTAGCCGAAGGGCTCATCAAATAAATTTAACATTATGCAAGGAATTAGTAAAAAGTTACTTTGTTTCATTCTAACACAGCATTAATGTGATAATCTCTGCATAGTAAGAAAAATAAACTAGAATGGATAAAAAAATTTGTTTTTTAAGGGCTGGTGATTTTCCAGAAGTGATCTACAAAATACAAATAAAGTTCTTTTTCACATATCTAAAAACCAAAATTCTTTAAAGAGAAAGGAGAGAGAGAAGAGAATGATATATGCAAAATCTAAAATACACTAGGTAATATATTTTCTTCTTTATTATCAAGGTATTTGTTTTAATTATCTAACACTTATGTTTTCTAAAAGATTAGGTATCATCAGAGTAAAAAGTACTGATAAAGCTAAGAATATGACCTCAGTTTGTATTCCACTGTAAAATTTTCAAAGCTCTTCCCCCAGTGCCTTATTCTTATTTCAAAGCTAATTTCTATTCCTATTTTCAAATCTATTTCTCAGAAAAATTTGTGTAAAGGCCCATATCTCCACTTCATAAAATACAAAATTGGCTTATCATACTATTCCTTGAATGTCATGTACTATCATTTATAAAATTCTTATTAATTTAAATTAATTTCTCAGTTTAAGAAATAAATGTCTTCAAACTCATCTAATCATCTTCAATGAAAGAGAATCACAGTTTAATATACCCAACTTACCCTAATTTTGGATGATTTGAGCGGGAAAGAATCTGATGAGCTTCATTGGTATAATTTTCACTGAAATACCTAGAAGAGTTTAAAGAAACAATGACACAATCATATGTCATTCAAATTCAAGCTATCCAGAAGCAACTTAAAAAGTCACTATCAAAATGGCAGTCCTAGGGACCAGCAGTTAGTGTAATGGCTATGTCACTGGACTCCCATGTAGTCGACCGCAGTTCGCGTCCCGGACCCAGTGGCTTAAAACTCACACTGGGCGCGTGTGAGTGCAGTGCCCAAGATCCTGAGAGGAGAGTAGAGGAGAAGTGATTGCAGCGTGGCCATCCCCCCTGGGGGGTGATTTCTCACTTTCTGCTGTCTCTCTGTCTCTCTCTGTCTGTCTGGCGAGCGCACGCACCCTATAGCAAAACCTCTCAAAAAAAAAAAATAATAATAAAATGGCAGTCTTACTAGTACAACAATCATACCAATCTCCATCTCAAATTGTTTCAGTGACTCACAAATGCATCTCAGAATTTAATCTCAAACCATCAAACCTATCTAGTACAGATCACAAGCCCTTGGCAAGACTGTGAAGTCTCTTAATAGATGAATTATCTAAAATGAGATTTCCTACCAACTTTTTAAAAAAGGGAAAACTCTGTAGAGTTCCTTTTGTTTATTTGCTTGCTCTATTTCTATACAACAGTCAACACTGACCTATTAGGATACTCTTCCTCTTACCTAGGCTTATTCGTTCTATTGTAACTTAAACCTGTACTGTTTAATGTCATATTCAATAGAATCGGAAGAAAGTCAATGACGTCCCTTTTGTACACTGATAAGCGATACAACTAAAATACTAGATGTAAAACAGAAGTGCTAGTAGGTATGAGAGAAACACATAAAACTATCTATATATAGGCTCATACTTCCTTTGGCCTATACTAATACAACACCCTAAGTCCCTAAAGATAGGGACTAATGGCTCAGTGGCAGTGGTGCAGACAGTGGCAAACTGCTCTGCAGTGCTGGACTCACGTAGCTGACCAGGGTTTGGATCCAAGATGGCCCTAAAAAGCTTTATAGAAAACTTTAATGCTTACAAAATTCAAGTATTACAGGAAATTCCAAGTGTGTGCATACCTGAAACCCTGGCTAGCTGGAGGGCTAGGAGAGGAGATAGATGGTGGTGTGATAAGACCCCGTGTGGATATCTATCTGCTTGTCTCTGTCTCTTGTCTCTCTCAAGTACATACTATCTCTCATGCACTTGCTCTCATACTCTCGTGAAAGAAATAAAATAAACTTTAGGAAACATTATGTAAGAACCAAATCTGCTCACTCTTCAAATCACCTCACAAAGCAATGGTACTCATGCATGCGGAGACACACACTTTCCCCAAAATAGTTATCCATATTCACCTAAGTACTTATTCTCAATATTAGCATAATGTAGCTTGATTTCAGAATTAATCTATCCAAACTTTAATGGTTAGCTCCCCTTCTAGACATTTCACAATCAGTCATAATTCATGAATAAACCCAAACACTAGTATCTGTATATTCGCTATATATTTACAGAAAGAAAATAATCTTCTAGCTTATTTTCTAGAATAGTTTTGGCTATCCATTATGATTTCTGTGTTTTTAGATTTCATACATGTACCTAAATCATAAGCACCAAAAACCTGTTAAAAATTAAAAAAGAAAGTTCATAGAAGCTCTGAAAAGTCAAAGATTTAGTTGGCTTTCACAGAAGGTGAACAAACTGGTGGACAGACTTTAGTGTCATCTCATCTGGTTATATTTTTCAACAAGGAATCAGAGAGTCCCAAGAGGAGAGGGTAAAAGTAGTAAGAAAGGAGTGTATGTAATTCTTTCAGAGGTATCAGAAGGGGAGTGGAGAAAAGAGGAAAGCATTAGTAGGCAAAAGAATCTCACTCTCATTCACATGAATATTTCATATTGTCACCAGTACGTTATTAAATAATTCTAGTGCTGCAGCTATTAAAAACCAGAGGCGGGGGGACCAGCAGTTAGCGTAATGGCTATGTTGCTGGACTCCATGTAGTCGACTGCAGTTCACGTCCCAGACCCGGTGGCTTTAACTCACGCCGGGTGCGTGTATGTGCATGCCCAAGATCCCAAGAGGAGAATGGAAGAGAAGGGATTGCGGTGTGGTCATCCCACCCGGGGGGTGATTTCTCGCTTCCTCTTTGTCTCTCTTTGTCTTTCTGGTGAGTGCATGTGCCCTACAGCAAAAATCTCTCTCTCAAAAAAAAAATTAAATTAAATTAAAAAAAAAAAAGAGACAGGGCTAGTCAGGTGGTGTGGTGTGGTGTTTAAGGTGGCTGCATCCCACATGGCCAACCGTGTAGTTCCAGTCTCAGGACAAACGGCCTGAAAAACATGCTGGGTGTGTGGGTGTAGGTGCCCAAAATCTCAATGGGAGAAAGGAGGAGAAAAGACTGAGGTATGGCCACTACTCTGAGGGGTCATTTCTTGCTCCCTCCCCCCCACTTCTGTCTCTTGGCAAGTGCATGTGCTCTACAGTAAAAACAAAAACAAACAGCAACAGAGACAATATGAAACAATTAGAATTTAGCCAGATTGGAGATTACATGTAATTTCATTTAGAGAAGAAAAGAAAGCTTATTTCCACTTACACAAGATTGATCAATCCAAGGATACCCATGCCTCTGAAGTCTGTTTTGGGGTCATCACCCTGGAAACCAATTTCAGCCCACTGCTTGGAGATTCTAGCATTCAACTTTTTCATGGGCATTAGAAGGTTCCAAAGCTGCACAAACATGCTTCCACGTTACAAATAATAGTGCTCTTAATTTACCAAGACATGTTCCTTCTTATAGTTCATATAACTAGTAACCAAATGCTCTCAATCAGACAAATCAGAGACTATGTTTAGAAAACTTTTCAACTGTCCTAAAAGATGTAGTATATATATCCAAATTTTAAATTACCATAAAAGGAGAGTTTCAAAAGGTACCAAATACTAACACAGAAATCTAAAACAGACAGATGTCATTAGTTACTAATTAATACATACACAGTATACCAGAATTGATAAACTGCTTGCTTGAGAAGAGTATAGAACGAGGTACTTGGCCCTTGTTTCAGCCACTATATACTCAAATAAGCTGTATTACAATGGTGGGTGTTTAGTCCCTAATCAAAAGAAGGAAATTAGTAAGGAAAGGAAATTAGTAAGGAAAGGAAAGGAAAGTATGAAATGGTACGGACCAGTATTTCAATCTATATTATTATTTTATAAATTTTCAGTTTTAAAAGAAAAATGAATGGGCTAGTCCCATGGCCAGATATCTGACAGTTAAGCATATAGGAGTCCTGGTGGTCTTACATGGTAGCCTTGGCCATATCACCAAGGCCTTATCCTTGGCATGATTAAATTCTTTGCTGAATTCCTAAGGAGATGCTAATGGGAGCAAATCACATGTACTGGTGATGAAAGTTGGGGCTGGATAAACCTGGTCTAATGACTGGATTTAGCTTCACAACTAAGGCCCTGATCTGATTTTATTTTTTTAATTTTTTAAAATTTTATTGAATTTATTTATTTTTATTTTTATTTGACCATAGAGGAACAGAGTGAGAGTGAGAGAGAGAGTGTTAGAGAAAGAGAGAGAAAGTGACAAAGAAAGCTGCCAGGTCCAGGACTCAAACTGCAGTAAGCCATGTGGGAGTCCAGCATCCTTAACCACCACATCACCTGCAAGGCCCCTGACCTGATTTTAAAGCAAGGTCATAAGTCTTCGCATTTAATTTAGGTATTTGTTTTGCAAATTTTTATAAACTTTTAAAAATTAATTTCTGTGACTCTCTTTTCTTAATAATGTGTGGTATTGAATTTTGAAAATGACTACATTTTCTTTATTTTGTACTGATTAACTTGTTGGGATCTGATATTTGGTAGTTTTTAAGTCCTTGGTCTTAAAAATTATATTTATTTAAAACCAAGTCATATTATTTTATTTTATTTTTGATTGCTTGTTTATATGCTAGAGGGCATGTGTACTCTCCAGAGAGAGGAAGAGAGAGAAAACACACCCTAGTGGGGTGTGGCCACAATCCCCTTTTTTCCATTTCTCTACCCTGTGAGGAATTGGTACACACACGCGCATGTGTCAGGGGGTTTTTTAAGCCACCATGGTCAGGATTTGGACTCCGTGGTCAGCAATGTGGAATCCAGCTCCCTTAACATCTAGGCCATGGGACTAGTCCATTCCTTTTTCTATAAATTTATAATTTAATTCAGAATTAACAGCATTACAATAAAACCTCAGTATATTCTAATGATGCTCAGCAGCAAATTATAAAATTAGTTAACTAAAAATATTTCCTATCAGTGAAATCGAACATAATAAAATTCTCTGAAAGGCAAAGAAAGCCTCTAGAATTTGCACAAGATAAGACATTATTCAGCTCAAGCCTGATTTATATTTTTAGTACTCAACAACTCTAAAGAGAAAAAAATTTACCTTCAGGAGTAGCTTTTCATGTTGTAGGTTATCTGAATCATATGGCTTTTTTCTCACATTTTCTACATCCAAATAGAGCTGTTTATAACCAGTTATTTGTAGTAAGCATGTCTTCATGCAGATTTTAAAACTGAAAATAATAAAATTACTTTTAAAAAAAATCATACCTTATCACAATAAAGCAATGCCTTCCATTGCCTGTGGTTTATGTCTGTTTAGAAAGCATGCCCCTTCAGTTTAGCACAGGCACCAAGAGCCTCCCTAAACACAAAACACCAGGGAAAGTTCTACAGAGACCACGAGAAAGCAGCGATTAGCAAGAGGGTGAGACGTGGTAGAAATGGGGAATGCCGCAACTCCAAGGGCTTGTCCTCTTCATGTTTCTCTGGGAACCCATATATTCTCAAATCTTTATTGCCAGATATCCCAACGGACCGAGTTTTCCAAGTAGACACACAACCAATAGCTCCATGATAGGTGGTCTCAGTTTCCCGAAATACAATGGCTTATCTTCCTTGAAGATAGCTGCTTTCTTAAGTCTCTAAGTCTTTTAATGCCATCACTAACTATTAGTTTCCCAAGCTAGAACACTCTGAGGTCTGACCAGCCTCTCTCTGTGAAGAATGCATCAAAAGTTCCCTCCTCCCTTTCCTTTCTGTCTCTGGAATGCCCCTCAATGTAGTCTTCATAGCATTTTCTGTCATGTATTTATGGCTTTGACATTTATTTACCTGAATGACTAGAAAACTTTCCTAACTGTTCTGTCTTTACTCTCTACCAGCCTGCCACACTGCCAAATCTATCCTCCATCTTGCTAAAATACATATCTGATAATATAGCATATTTGCTTAAAAATCAGAGGAAAGCATCTACATCCCTCTGTATAGCATGTAAACCTCCCTGCTATGTATCATCCACATCTCTAATGATGGCTCTGCAACAGTCAATGTTCCAGCTACAAAGACGTTCTTATCCTTCCTGGACACAGGTCCTTCTGTCTCTGTGCCTCACTGACACTGTTCTACCCATTCATCAAGGTCCAGCTCCAGGGTCACCTCTTCTGTGGAACTATCGTCACCGTTCCCTCCCATACCCTTTCCCGTGTCAGCTGCCTAATGCCCCTTCCTCCATATTACATAGAAAATGCTGAATGAAAAAAAAAAAAAAGATAAATACTTACTATGTCACCGTACTGGTGCTGGGAACACAAAAATGGGACTTAGAGTTTATTAGGGGAAGAACAGGAGTAAACAATGACTAGTACAGATAGTCCAATGGCAGGACTGTGAGAGGCCAGAACGAGGCCCCTGACTCAGATTCGAGGGGCCAGGGAAAACCTTCCTGGAGGACGGAGGAACTAAGTTTTGAAGGACAACAAGGACACAGTAGCCGGTTATTTTACCTTGAGAAAGTGATGGCAAGTTACCGTGAAGAAGGCAGATGGTAAAATTACAATGGGACTGGCCTGGGAGCCTACAGAGACGGCTGTCACTTCTGCTTCTGTCACCCACCTCTCACCTCTCTGGACCTGAATGCTCCTCTAGTGAAGTGAGGGGATTGAACCAGATGATCTCTTTAGTTTTATAACTGTGTCCACGCTCTACACCACATAGGCTATAAATGCAAAATAAAAAAGAAGAATGTAAAACAGCATACCTGGCATCCTTCTCAGGGTTAATATTCTTTTCTTTCATTATATCTTCTACACATTTCTCCACTTCACTCTCAACAACACGTGTTGCTTTCTGTAAAACCTATTTGTGTGAAAGAAAGTTCAATGTAAAAAAAAAAAAATCCCTTATAGTTTAAAAGGAATAAGTTTATGAATCAACTTTATAAAGCAGATGTCATAAGCCAAAGGAAATCAAATTTGTTTCAAAATCTCTCTTGGGCTAAAATCATGTGTAATCTGCAGTGTATTTATGCTGGGAAAATTCATTTTGCATACTGTAATGATATGCAGTGATTGAATGTATTAAAAAACATGTATTTTTTTTTGTTTGCTTTTGTTTTTAAATGAAAGAGAAGCAGCATGACGTATCAGAGAAAGGCTCTCTTCATTGAGATTTAACAGGTTCTCAGCTGATGACCTCTTAACAAATAAGCTGCCATCACAGGGTTCTTATAAAACAGATACAGTTTATAAGATTAAGAAAATTACATAGTTGGGACCAGCAGGTGGCATGGAAGTTAAGGTGCTGGATCCCATGTGGCCAGATTCATGGTTTGAGTCCTGGACTTGGTGGCTTGAGAATCACACCAGAGGTGTGTGTGTGTGTGCCCCAGATTCCAAGAGGAGAATGGAGGAAAAGGGACTGTGGTGTAGCCACCCCTGTGGGGGGGAGGAGGAGGTGGTGAATTCTCAGGTTCCCTCATTCTCTCTCTCTCTCTGGTGAACGCACGTGCCCTACAGCGATAACTTTAAAACATTAGATAGTAAAAATATACAGTATGTAGGAAAAAGATTGTAATGCATTAGTTAATTTTTTTTTCTTAATTTAGAAAAGCAGAGAGGAAAACTTAAATAATTTTGTTTTGTAATCGTACCACCAGAGAATACTGGTAACAAATGAGCACTGTCAAAAATAAAATCAGATCCAATTTAAAAACTGTACATGCTTATTGTGTAAACAGAACAGTTCCCAAACTGAGAGGCTTCGAATCAAAACAGTTTGCAGTAGTTTTAGCAGTTTATAAAGCATAAGAGAGGAAGCATTTTGACCTTTATAGTGATTACTACATTAATATTCCTTTTAAGGCAGAGATGTTTAAGCTGACTAGTTAAATTTCAATGAATCAGGCTGAGAAGGACATGATGCTTATGTTTTGTGTTTCAGTTATGATTAGAACAGGTGAAGACGTCAGGATAACTGAGGTTTTGACTATTTGGCTACGGGTGGTTGTTGGGCTTGGGGAATATCTAAATTACAGTCTCCATTTTTATTGCTCTTTAACAGCATATGCCTTTCTGGTCTTTTTTCTACACATCAAAAGATTTCTGGGCTAGCCTGTGGCATGGTGGTTAAAGCACTGGATCCCACATGGCCAAATGCATGGTTCAGGCCCAGACCCAGGAAACTATGGGGCAGCAAAAGAAGGTAGCTATGTGTTTACTCTCTTTACAATTTCAAGGCTAAACGAAAACACACTTCACAAGACAAGTCATTCTAAAGGGCTAAGCACCCAAAGAATTTCAAATCTGTGACATTCTGAAACACGACTTGTTTAAGGTCAGGTTGGAAAATGCATGAACTGCTTCCTATAGGTAGAAAGTTAGAGCAGGTATGATCCAGAACCCTTCTCAAAAAGCATACTATTACAGTGGTTCTCAGAGCACTGCCTCGCACCAGCAGGAGGCATCACCCGGCAACATTTCAGAAATGCACGCAAATCTGATTCAGAAATTCTGGGGGTGGTGCCCAGTAATCTGTATTTTAATAAGCCTCCAAAAGATTCTGATGCATGGTCAAGTTTGAAAACTACTGATATAATAGATCTAAAACATGCTATTGGGTCATCAGAAAAGTCATGACATACTTTTTTATGTATAAATGAGTCATGACTTTTCCAATACTTCTCCATTAATATATTACATTAATTGGGACCAGCAGTTGGCATAATGGCTATGTTGCTGGACTCCCATGTAGTCAACTGCAGCTTGAGTCCCAGACCTGGTAGTTAAAATCACGCCAGGCACGTGTGCATGTGTATCCAAGATCCCAAGAGAAGAATGGAGGAGAAGGGATTATGGTGTGGCCATCCTCCCTGGGGGGGAGGGGTAATTTCTCGCTTTCTGTCTCTCTGTCTCTGTCTGTCTTTCTGGTGAGTGCATGTGCCCAATAGCAAAATCCTCTCCCCCCACAAAAAATAAAAATACATATTACATTAATTGTAGTGTATGTGTTAGAATTAATGATACTGTTACTTTGGAAAATTGCATTTTAAGTATCAATTAAAGGAACTATATGGGTGGATAAGGCATAAATAAGTTTTTATAACCAGCAACTTGTTAGCTTTCTGGACCACCACACTGTCAATAAACAAACAAACAAACTTTTCTAAGATCCTGAACAAAAGAGCACTCTAGACTCCTCTCTCCAATATTCATTCATATGTATCAATTACTCTTACATAAATCATTCATAAATAATAGACTAACTGAATCAGTAAAGCACCTATTTTACAGGAACATAACAGGTATATTTATAACACACAACAATATCTATTTTGTTTCTGGCATGCATTAGTAACTCACACCAATATCACTACAAGATCAACATTTTTTTAACACTTTTTGACTCTGATCCACATTTTACATTAGGACCAAGAACAAATATACATATGGATATATAAAATATAGAGAGATGTGCACACACACACAGAAATAAAATTAAAATCTTACAAGATATTTAAACTTATATCTGACAACTTCTAAATATTTTCTATTTTGTTCCTCCTGTTGTTGTTTAATGCTGGCTGTGCCTATTATAGGATGTTAAACAATGGTCAAGATGTGATTTTTCAAGCTATCATGTCTGGGACTCGAAACCCAGTCAGCCCTATGGGAGTCCAGCACCTTAACCACTATGCCCCCTACTGGTCCCCCATGCCTTAGCTTTGCCATACCAAATAACCTATTGTAAAAACTGTGAACTAGTGGGACCAGCAGATGGTATGATGGTTACGTCACTGGACTCCCACATAGCTGACTGTAATTTGAGTCCTGGACCTGGTGGCTTGAAAATCACACTGGACAGTGTGTGTGTGTGTGTGTGTGTGTGTGTGTGTGTGTGTGCCCAAGATCCCAAGAGAAGAATAGAGGAGAAGGGACTGCGGTGTGCCTATGCTCTCTGGGGAGTGATTTCTTGCTTTCTGTCTCTCTGGCAAGTGCACATGCCCCATAGCAAAAAAAAATAAAACAGAAAAAAACTGGGCCTGGGAGGTGGCATGATTAGAGCACTGGACTCCCTCATGGATGACCATGGTTTAAGTCCCAGACGTGGTGGCTTGCTTTCTTATTTTCTTTCTCTCTCTGTCATCAAATTAATAAATAATAATAAATAAAATTAAGATATTCATTAAGAAACGAAACAAAACAAAAAAAGAAAAACCATGAACTAGCATAAGGAAATAATAGCATGTGATAGACAGAATTATTGGTCTTAATTTTTCACTGCCCGGTAACTGAATTATGTACCCACCTGCCTACCACAGCCTTACGGTAGACACAGTATATTTCTCCATCCCTTGACTTAGGCATGGCTACTGAGTTTACGTTAACCAATGGGATGTTAACAGATATGACACAAGGAGACAAATGTGTCTAGATGACCCACTGTGAGAACATTCTCCAGGTACTTACTCCTTTCTTCCCACTAACCTGGGTCCTTGAATGAGACAATGTAAAGGATCTGAACTTGGCACAAGCTTGAAGAACCTCTTCAGCTGACTCACAGACACATGAGTGAGAAACAAGACATTTTTTTTATGTCCTTGAAGTTTGAGAATGGTTTGTTACACTGCAAAAAGTGACTGAGCTATAAAATGAGTTAAGACTTGTTTTGGATCAAAAGCTACATGATCCAGCATTTTCTCTAACTATCCTAATTGCTTGTTTTTCTCTCACATACTCTATCCGGAGGACATGGTTTAAGAAAGATTTGCCTCTAAGATTCTGCTTTCCCAAAAGGATCAAGTCTTAAGGCAAAATAAACAAGTAAAACCTCAGAACAGAACAAATTATTCAAATACCTCTTTGTGCATAAAGCACACACAGAGAGAAAATATCTGAAAAGCAATATTACTTCTAAAGGGAGAAATTATCATTTAATGCTCTTACAGCAAAGCCTTTTCTAACAGGACACTAAAAATAACTAAATTCTAAAACTGAAGCTTCTCTTTAAAAAAAAAAAAAAAAAAAGTATGTCCAAGTTAGTTTTCTAGAACTGTCACCTTATATGATCCTACCTTATTCTTGGAGTATGTCAAGGAATTTTCTGGAAAAAAAGAAAAAGAATGTTAACCCTTAAATGCTGTGCGTGAATTAATCCACAAATAGTAAACATATCACACTAGTAAACTATTAAAGGACTTTAATAGTTCTAGAAGATATAATTTCTACAGGAATAACATGCAAACATTTAAAAATTTTATTCTTACAGTACAGAGAAGTAGATATGATTCCAAACACTTGAACTAAATACTACAGACCAAGCCTAATTTTCCTAATTATCCATTCCTATGCAGACCTTCAAAGAGTCCACTAATCTCTGCAAGTTCACCTGTGCTGCGCCAGTTAGTTCAGTTTCCAGAAACTCATCTCAAGACTACAGAGAGAATACTCTCTATTTTATTGGGTTGTCAGAAAAGTCATGCCATATTTTTCTTTTTTTCTATGCAAAAATGTATCATGACTTTTCTGATGACCCAATATTTCTACTTCTTTGCCTTACACACCAAGCATTTTGATTTGAGATGCTAACAAATGAATCGTACAACAAAGGAGCAAAGACCTTAGATTCTCTGGCCAACCATTCTCTAACCAAACAGCTTCTCCATTCTTGGTTTCTGTATTAAGAATGACAATAACACATTTATTGATGTAGTTTACTAAGTTCCTAGTACATTTACTGATAGTCTCACTTTTCTCAGCAATTTGAAAAATTCAAGAAAAATGCTTTCCCACAAAGTAAATCTTAACATATGTTCTTCCCCAACACTATGAAACAACAACCAGTATTGCTTAGAGCTTTCTTATCAAGAGTACTTTGTTCTTCTGAGCAGTCAAAAGGGCAAATCAAAACAGAAGGCAATGATGTAAGTCACTAATAGAGTTGGAAAAAAAGTACAAAAGTAATTAAGCTTCAATCACTCAACTGCCCTGGGGCACCTTCTGTCTCTCATTCTTCCAGTGGTAACTCAGATACATGTTCCAAGTGTCAACGCTCACCCCTCCAGTCTTACGGGGGTTGGTTTCTTTGTTGAAGCACACTTGATCACCACCAAAGGGGATCTAGTGAATTCATCATTTTCCACTTAACACACTGAGCACTAGCTGTTCCCTGGCCTTTACCTTGACTAAAAAAAAAGTGACTTCGAACCATATTTTTCACTCACCTGTGTTCTTAGAGCAGTACTTTAAAGTAAGCATTGAAAAATTTATATATTTTGGAGGCAACAGAGTAGCACTGTTAAAGAGAAATATGACATAGGCCACAATGTAAGCCACATGTGTACTTTGACATTTTTCTATAGCCATATTAGTAAGAAGAAATAGCTACCATTGTAATATATTTTAATCCAATATATCAAAAATATTATCATTTCAACATATGAGTATAAACAATTATAAGTAAGACTTTTCACATTCTTTTTTCATATGAAGTCTGATATGTAGTGTATATTTCACAGATATAAACTCTCAATCCAGACCAGCCACATTTTAAGTGCTCAGTAACCATATGTGGCTACCGCCTGTGGTATTGAGCAGTGTGGATTTTGAATCTATAATAATAATTTTTCCTAGGTACCACTGGATACATAAATACTGTCTTTGAACAAATAACTAAAAGGAATTAAAAGATGAAGGGGTGCCAAGTATAAAGTGGATCTAGTTTGAGGAACTGATCAGTAGAGTGAGCATTTCAAAGGGATTACAGAAGTCTAAAAATTTTTCCCTAGCTAATAGGTTGCAACTGTAACCTAGGGAACTACTGATAAATTTAGGATGATGATGATGCTAATTCTTTATACAGGGATAAAGACTTACATAATCAGCTTCCTTTTCAATAAAGTCATATAATTATAGAACTGGAAGGATTCAACTTGAGATTTCAAAGCTTCTGAAACTCAGTTTAAGAGACTTGATCAGGCAGAATACACAAGGAATACACCAGTCCATTCAGAGGTAAAATTTTTAGTTTTCAATTTTTTCAAATAACATTACCTATCCTGTGTGTCCTTTGTGCACCTACATAGGTATCAAAAATTCGCTGCAATTCACACTTCCCAGTCATCTGTCGTAAGAGCCATTTCATCCAAAATCGAAAAAAGTGCCCATAGAAGAACTCCCACAAAGAAATAAACATTTTTCCTGGAGAAGGAAATAGACAAGCTTAATGCCTTGAACTGAATGCAAGAGTTGAAAAAGAGTTTATCCAATTCACCAAATCTCAAGATATATTCGTACTTATCATTCCATTGTGTCTGTTTTGTGATAGTGTTTAACTCGGTATCCAAGAAAACGACAGTCTAATACCTAACATTTAGGCTAAATGATGGCTGGCCAAAAGATCAATTTATCACTTTTCAAAAACAGCAAAAATCAAATCAACTTAGAGTCTATTTATTTAATGGCTCAAAAGAATGATACATAGTACTGAATTACTGAATGTCATCTTAAGTTTCCTATTTTAATTTCTCATTCTTCTAGAATGGGGCTCAACAGTCCAAGAACAAGAGGACCCCGACTAAACAATTAACATATATCATATGCTCGAATTGTTTTTATAAGAAATAAGCTTTTCTTAATGCTTGTGGACAATTTGTTACAGTTGCCCCCACAGTCAGGCGATGCCAGCAAACAAAAACACTAATAGGCTTACTAATTAAAGTATACAAGTTGAAGACAGAGTAGATCTCACACTCAATCTTAATTTTCCATTCAATAGGGGAAGGGCAGAAATACCAACCAGAGGTTAAAAAAAATTTAAACTACACACTCCATAAAACTGATCTTAAGTCATAAGACATTTTTTCAGCTTCTTAAATGAAGAAGGGAGGAGATGCAAGATGCGGAGGCGGGGGGGGGGGGGGGGGGGGGAGGCACTTAAAATGAAAAACGCTCCTCTCTCTCCCGCCTTATACATTCCCACAGTCACATCATCTCTGGACCAGGGCCTGAGGGAATTGTCAAACTGGAAATCCCGCAGGTCAGTGCAGAAACAGTGCCTATCATACTGATGGGCTGATCTACATCTTTAAAACGAATCCACCTAGTCCGCGATCATCAGGACAAAAGAAGCAGAACTGCCAGGCGCAGCGAACACAAGCCTGGAGGCCTGAGCACCCAGACCTCAGGGAGTCGCTGCGCCGAGCCCCCTCCGGAGCCGGCCGAGCCCAGCTTGTGCGCTGCCCGCGAGGAAAGGATCGGCTGACACAAAGCCCCGCCAGCCCAGGCGCCCCGCGGATCTTCCGCAGGACACCGCGAGACTCGCGCAGCGCGCGCGACCTCAGCGCAGTCGCACCGAAGCAGCGCAGGGTGAGAAGAAAAGAAACCGCAACCACCTCACAGGAGCGGAAGAACTAGAGGGAGCAGGAGCTGCCTCGGTTTCCCCAACTGCAAACAGCCGGCAGCGGAAACGACGCTATTCGCGGAGCACTCCCTGCAAGCACCGCGACCCGGAAGTCAGGGAGCGAGGCCACGGGACCACCTTCCTGGGACCCTGCCCGGCCCCGCCCCTCCGGCCCCGATTGGCCCGCGCTCCACCTATTGCTAACGCAGGAAGGTCGAGCTCGAATGCCCCCGCGCGCGTGCTCGGATTACAGGGACTCCCTAACGGTTTCCGTGACAACGGCAACCAGGAGACACGCCCTGCCCCGGCGTGGTCTCCCCCAGCGCTGACTGGGAGACTTCTCTCCTGACACCCGCGTGGTTTGCGCAAATTGAAACCATGGACTACGCGACTACGCACTCCCAGGCTCTGAACACGGAAGAAACCCTGCACTTTCGGTAACTTAATTGCGCCAACGTGACTAGAGCGCATTCCCCTACAGTTAGTCTTAATTCTGTGAAGTAATTTTAATAGTCCAACTTTACAGAAGAAGAAAATGTATTTAGTTATACTGAGTTTGACTACCACCTACGTGGTTAGGTAAGGAGAGCCTTGTATGTTGAAATAAGTTTTTATTTTACCCTGCAGTAATAACCATTTAACAGTTAATACATCAAACATTTATTACATCACTGGTTATTTTTATTGAAAAAGTAATTTATGCACATAATTTTAAAGGACTTCAAACTGTACGTGCATTAATTCAGCAATTACTCAATGGGTTTTTGCGTACCAGCGAGTGTTCCAAAAGGGAGTCTCACACTACACAGGGAAATATTTAGTGTGTCAGGTAGTACTAAGTAGAAGGTACTAGGTAAGGAGTACTGGGAAGTGTATGTGGAAAATCATTACACATAGTGTAGTCTCAGTAATAAGGTGACATTTGAGAATCGTTAATGTTAATGAATGTACTATGAGAGTGTCCGGGCACTACAATGGCAAGTGCAAACCCCTCAAACTGGGAGCATATTTGAAATGTTGGAGGAACAGCAAGGAGACCAGTGTGGCTAGAGGAGTGAGGCGGAGCTTAGAATATGTGTACAAAGGACAACATACATTTATACCTGACCTCCTGGCCCAGCCACACTGGCTCTCACTGCTATGATGCTGTGCTCATAGGCTGGGACCATGCAGGAGAACTGGTTTGATTCCTAATCCAACCTAAAGGCCAGGAGAGGCAGGAGCGGTCGCACACACTGCTTAGGGAGGATGAGGTAAGAGGATCATAAACTGAAGGCTGGCTTTGGCAACGTAGCAAGATTGTGTCTAAAAAGTGAAAATAAAATAAAAGAGCCTGGCGTAGTGGCACCTGCCAGTATGCTCAGCTGTGATGCTGAGACCAAAGGGCAGTGACATAGTTAGACCCTGTCATGCAGGGGAAATTCATTTTGTAGGCTGTAATGATGTACAGTGATTGAATGATTAAAAATAATAATAAAATAGGAACCAGCAGATGATATAATGGTTACGTTGTTGGACTCCCGCATAGCCAACTACGGTTTGAATCCCAGACCCGGTGACTTAAAAGAACACATGCTGGGTACGTGTGCATGCATGCCCAAGATCCCAAGAGAGAATGGAGGAGAAGGAATTGCAGCATAACCATTCCCCTTGGAGCGTGATTTCTCACTTTCTGTCTCTCTCTCTCTGTCTCTCTGGTGATTGCACATGCCCTATAGCAAAAATCTCTCAGTAATAATAATAATAACAACAACTTCCTTCCATGCACCCAAGAGTCCTGTTTTCTTAACCCCCTTGCTCAGAAGCAACCATAGTTTATTGTTTCTCTTTCTAGAAATATTCTGTGTAAGCTTAAATATGTATATTGCATCCATTCCTTATTAACACAAATTGACGCAAGCAATGCCTACTTTTCCATATTCAACTAGTATTTTCAAATAGATATTAGTTGGGGACCAGCAGGTGGCATGGTGGTTAAGGCACTGGATTCCTACATGGCTGACCATGGATCAGGCTGGGACCTGGCAGCTTGGGGGGGGGGTATCATGCCAGGAGCATATGTATGTTTGTGTGTGTCCAGAATCAAGTGAGGAGAATGGAGGAGAAGGGATTGAGGTGTGGCCATTCCCCTTGATGATGGTTTCTCATTTTCCCTCTCTCTGTCTCTCTCTCTCTTTTTTGCACCCTGTGGCAAAAAATATTTTTTAAAAAATGTATACTAATTGTAGAGTTCAGACATTATCACACTCTGTAGAAGCAATCAACAATAAACTTAGTAATGAAGTCTGGATATATACTATTAATATAATAATATTATAAGATCTAAGAATCTTAGATCTTGAAGGGGACTTAAACATTGTCTGATTGAATGTTTTTATTATAGATAAAAGATTTAGAATGACAAAATGACAACCAACTTGGCAAATTAAGAAGTAGAAAACAACTTCTATTTCAGTAATCTCCATTTTTACATAAGACTTTTGTGTGAGAGAGTGAAATGACTCTATGTGTAATCTTACTGCCTTTTCAAAGTGCTGTACTGAGGGCAGTCGGCGCAGAGAGGAACTATCTGTCTCTGAGCTGCATCTTGACCCATTTCTAACATGTTTTTCCTCCAAGAGTAACAAGGTGAACTGCATTTATTGGAAGTAAGGTCACTATACATTAAGATTTCTTATGCATATTAACTACTTTTTTCTCTTTTTTTGTTAATTCACTTGCATATGATTGGTAGGTATATTAAACCAGTCCTGTCTTTGAGGGAATATTGGTCATGCTTTTTCTCTTACTCGCTCTTGTTTTCTTCTTCCACGTGACTGGCTAAATGGTATTAAATATTAAGATTCAGATTCTGACTTCAAAGATGAGATCTACGTAGGTCTCTAAGTACACCTCTGTGCTTCTACTGGGTCTTATCTGGTACACCTGTGGGGAAATCTAAGCCTAATTATGGAGTTTGGTTATATTTTTTGAGTAATTCTGAGGAATCTCTACTTCTTTGGATTCTCAGTTTAAGCTATGGGACTGTTGAATTTATAAACTGCTTAAAGGGAAGAGTTGTTTGGAATTAGCAGCTCATCAACAGCTTGTTATAGCTTTCAGCATTCGATCCATAGAGGGCACAGTTTAAATATCCATGCTTTTTTTTTGGAATGTGGCGGTGCAGCAAATTTGTACTGAAAAGGAAAATTTAATGCTTCTTTCATTAACAGTGATATGGATTATCTCTTTGGAAGCTTTAGAAGTTTTAATAGAAGTTGCAACCATCATTGGTTTTATGATGGTTAGTGTTGAAAGTTCCTGAGTAACAGGTCTCTGCTATAAACTATGATAGACACTGGGATTAGGGGGAACCCCTCATGGTTGAGTCCCCCATATGGTTGTTGAATAAAACAAGGGGATAAGTGCTAAGGCAGGTTTGTTCTCATATTTGCTAAGAGCAATAGGCATTATCAATGAAACCATTTACAAGAAAGTTAATGGGTCTACGGTGATGAAAATAGTAACCAGAACAAGGAAAATAAAAATCGAATCAGGTAGAACAATTGTCAAAAAGAGAGAAAGAGAGAGAGAGAGAGAGAGAGAGAGAAGGTGGGTAGAGGAGGAAATGGGCAGGTCCCTACAAAGGATTTGGTGACACACTGACAATAGTTGAGGGGAGAGAAGCTTCCTGTATTCACCTTACCTGCATTGCCCTATCAGATCTGCTCCAGCGATGCCAGTCTGGATGGGTTTAAAGCCACTGGTGCTGAAGAGAAGTAAGAAAACTAAGTGTTTTCAGCACAGGGTAGTGATTGTACTTGTTAAGGTTGTGGGGGAAAAAGGGAGTAATAAACTCAAGGGAGAAGAAACCCTCATTTGAGAGGTTTATACGTGTTGTATACATGATATCGTTAATACTGAGTGTCAGAGGATAGTGGAAAATTTCTTTGGGATTATTGGATGTATAATACCGATAATGCAAAAGGTACCTTAATACCAGCAAGGGAATGAAAAGGCAACATTAAGGTTCAAAAAAAAAAAATCAAAGTTTAAAGTACATTAAGTGCTATAGTAGGTTAACACCAGAGTTGCTACAAAGTTGCAAGTGAAAAAATAAGAAAGAAAAAAATTAGTTCTTGCCTCTACCTGAATCCATAATTACAATGTATACAATGCACAATGACCAATTTAAAGTCAAAGAAATCTGCCTTTCAGACTTTTTCAGTTTTAATTATTGCATGCAATTTGGAAGCCCTGAGACTTGTTCAAACCCTCCTTTGTAGTAAATGTCAAGCAGTGTCAGATTCTGGAAGGACACAGAAAATCTCAACTTTCATTATGAAACAATGGGAGCAGAAATGCTAATCTCCACTAACACTTTCTACTAATCCTGTGCAGCCCAGAAGAAGAGAAAGCTCACTGTCATATTTTAAACAGAGTGGTTTCCATGATTTCAACAAGTAAGTTAAATATGACTGTTTTCTTTCT